GTATTATGTTTTTGTGTTGCAAAAAGTGTAAAATTAAGTCCTGTGTGTCCAAATCTCAAACTTGTTACCACTCTTTCTTCTTTTCTGGTCCTTTTYCCAGCTCTCGTTTCTCCTACCMTCCTTTGAATCTTATAAAACCACCTCCCTTTGTTATCTCTCTCCCATCTCTTCTGCCATTCTGTCTTCAGTCTTTCTTTAATTATGCTTTTCGCTTCAGATTTACTTGTCTTAATTATAATGTTAATCTCTTGAACTGCTTTCTTTGCCATTTTATCTGCTTTTTCATTTCCTCTTACCCCTATATGTGCTGGTACCCAGAGAAAAACAAGTTAACCCCCTGAATAATGACTAATTTCTAGTAAAACGTCTGGCCTGCTTTCTGAGTGATTGTTGACATGRTTCTCAGTGAACGTAGGCAGAAATCTGAACGTGCTGCGTCATCTACCCAAGCCCCGCCCCCTTTCAGATCTCATTGATTTTTCGAAAAGCTGATCAGAAATCAGCTGGCATGCTCTTTATTTACAGTTCTCCGAGAGAGGAGGCTCCGCTCACAAACCGACTCAAAGTCAGAAAGCTGGCGGCTCTTTAGCGGTTTGTAATTTGTTATCACGGGACGTACTTCCGGTTAAAATAAGGGGGCCGAAAAGTAAACAGTAATCGAGGCTGTAGCTGTGTGAAATGTGCAGATTTTGTTGGTCGGCAAACATATTTTACGGTCGTACTGTTTACAGAACTACTTGACAAAATAAAGGAAAAGACASACCACAAGGTGAGTCATGGTAAAAGTTTGGGGTGTATGTGGAGATTCGTTTGTTTTTTTAGTTTAGAAGATAAAAAAGCTAACAGTTATATACTAGCTAAAGGTAGCTAACACTCAGGTGGGTTAGCTAGCTGGGCTACAACAACAATAGGAGTTAAAAAAAATGCAAATGTCGCCATTTATTTTAATRTTTTAARSCGGTCGCTTTAGTTAATAGAAAGAKAAAAATATATTACAGKTTCTACTATTAYATTTGGATTTTTAAACCATTTTTWGCGACTAAAACGTGAAAATGAGGCAATACTTTTTCGACCTTCCTCTTTTCAAAGCTTTGATTAGCATTTACCTTACAGACACAACAATGAGACTAATTTATACTACTTTAATACGTTTAACTGAGTATTAAGATGCTTTTAAGATGATTTCATTATATCATATGCATTTATTTTTTTTACTTCAGCAATAACTCTTTTTTTAACTTGTTGCACTAAATTTTTACCCAGATTTAAAGCATTATTTTAACACGCAAGTTTCATCTCATCTTTAGACAGGTAAATTATTAATATTTGGATATTTCTTTGCACATAAATAAGTGAATAGATTCATTTCTTTATTTTACACCTATTTGTAATCTAAATAACCTAAATTTACTAAAAAAATTGAAAATCCTAACATTTCATGGTCTGAATTTGTAATAAAAATGTTTACAAACGTGTGTTTTATTTGTGATAGCTCTTGGAAAGCCTGAATCCAATCACAGATTTGTTTGAAAAGCTGCCAAATGTCATTGTTTTTTTTTATATATTTCACAATCTGCAATAACAGTGTAATAAGGGGTGTTTATTCTCATCAAATGAGTGTGTTCAACATACAGAAAATCAGTAACAATAGAGAAAAAAAGAGGATAACTCGGTGAGTGTTTGTGAAGCTCATTAAGCTCAATTATAAAAGGTACTGAACCCTCCTGTCYTCCATTTTCTTTTTGCAATAAATGGACTTTTCTGACGATTTGAAGAAAACATGCTGTGTTTCTTTTCAGACAAGATGGATATAGTGTGTTTCCGGTTACCAGGACACGGGGACATGACCCTGAAGCACATGAACTTGCTCAGGTCTCGCCAGCATTTCTGTGACATYACCATCGTGGCCAGCAACAACCAGACGTTCAAAGGACATAAGGTGGTTCTAGCCGCCTGCTCGCCCTTCCTACGGGATCAGTTCCTCCTCAACCCGTCGCCCAGGCTTCAGGTGAAGGAACACAACCACACGCTAYGTCGTGATCRTAAMTCGGTTTAACACGTTTACAGCAAAGGAAAAAAAACAAAYGTTTTCTTCTTTTATCCAGGTCTCGATGCTGTATAGCTCGTCGGTGGTGTGCGACTTGCTTCAGTCGTGCTACACTGGCTTCCTGCAATTCAATCCGGAGGAAATTGTCAGCTACCTGACTGCTGCTAGCTACTTTCAGATGGAGCACATTGTGGAGCGGTGCAGGGGAGCGCTGGAGAAATACGTTCAGCTGAAGAACCCCGGTGCACTGAAGGTCAGATTTCCACACCCGWTGGTATCAAAACAGTCACTAAAGCAGCGTGCAGTTCCTTTCAAATAATAAAAATACAACTGTCTTTAAATGTAATTGTCCCAACTTCCTCTATTTTATTTTTTAAAAATTTTTGTCAGGATTATTTTCACTTAAATCTTTAAAGCTATCCCATTTCCTGTTCTCCTTGAATGTTCAGGCGACAGAAGAGGAAAGCCAGACGCAGCCAGTTATAATCAGCGCCAGTGTTCACGATGATTCACCTCCCCCCTCTCGACCCTCCCCCGTGCAACAGCACAGCCCCGCCGTGCACTCAGTGGAGGAGAACAGCGAAACATCTGCTCAAGGCAGCACTCGGCATGACCACAGCCCTGCTCTGGACGAGCCTTGTGTTAGGGTACCTGTTCTGGTTTATGTTTTGTTTTGTTTTTTTTTTTCAGCTAAATTGTATTTTATTCAGCTCTGACGGTGACAGAGCACCTCTGCCCAGCTTTACTTCTGATTCAACCTCTCTAAAACAAGTTCTCTCACTGACCTGTTAGCTATGGCTGTAAAACGCTCCCTTAGCTGCTTTTTATTTGTACCACTTAACTTTTACAGCCTTTTTGTTGTCGTTGTCCCAACAGATCTGATGTGATTCAGATAAGAGGTTATTGAGAAAGATTTTAGGGTACCACTTTACAATAAGGCTCCCCTTATAAATAGCTTATAGATTTGTTATTAATTAATCTGTAAACACCTTATAAATTAGTGTTTATTATTCATTAATTAAGGAGACAATTGTCCTGTTTCTTGCCAAATAGTGACTCAAATCTGTTCATGTATATATTACATCTAAAGTGCTTTATTAAACATTTCAGACTAGTTAACTACCTTGTAAGCACAATAATTTATTGAAAACACATATTTTACATATATTGTACTGTATTATTGCATTATACATATCCACAGTAATCAAAGGAGCCTTATTGTAAAGTTTAAAACAGTATAATAATAATAATAATGTCATAATAGAGCCTTATAAATGGTGTACTATCTTACACTTTACAATAAGGCTCCCTTTGACAGTTGTTAATATGTATAATTCAGTAAAATAGTACAWTATTACTTTTCAAATATGTGCTTCCAATACATAATTGTGCTTACAAACTTAGCAGATTTGGCTCACCATTTGGCAGGAAACTGAACAGTTTTGTCTATTTCGCGTTTTTAATTAATCCATAATAAACATTTATTAATGATTTATAAAATCTATAAACTATTTATAAGCCATCTACGAGGGGAGCCTTGTGGTACCGATGAAATTCTAACGTTTGACCTTTTAACTTGTAGAATGATCATCTGAAGACGACCTAAGCACTTAAATCTTTTGTCGCAGGTGAACGTATCAGACGAGGAGGAGGAGGTGAAGCCCGACTATAATCTGTTCAGAATGTACATGTCTGAGGAAGAGCAGGCGACCAGAGAGCGCGAGGAGAGAGCTTCTAACGACGTCCCTCAGGATCTCTGTCTTACAGAGACACAAGTCGGTATTGCCGGAGATGGCAGCGAATATGACTTGAATTCAGCGGGGGAGCTCACCTTTGGGGGGCTCACGTTGGAAGGCCTGCAGGCGATCAGGCGCAGGCTGTCCGACCCTAAAGTTGGGCGTGGCAGGGGGCGGGGAAAGGGGAGGGGCTTCAAAAAGAAACGCTGGGCGTCCTCTCAGGAGAAGCGACCTCTCAGTATAGCTCACCGGCAGGACTTGTGGTTTCTCACAGCGGGTGGGCTGGGAGGGGGTTTGGGTTTGGACTACAGCCAGGAGGAGCTGAAAGCAGCAGCAGCAGGAAGTTACCTCTCAGCTGAGATCCCCAGGTTAGACTTCAGCCTGGGCAGCAGTCATGGAGACAGACCCATCATTTCACCCAACAGTTTGAACCAGTTTTCCGTGGAGGAGTCAGACGCCGGCGAGGGGAGTTCAGGTTTGACCGTGGGGGCGAATGAGGGAGGGGACGAGTCCGTCGCCGTGGTGGGATCCACTTCCAGCGTGGCCGGCCCCGTGATCTGCGAACACTGCGGCCTGACGTTCCCTTCGGCCCACTCCCTGGCCGTCCACTCCCGCTCCACCCACCTGCTGTACGTCTGCCCCTGCTGCGGCAAACACTTCCACCACGCCACCAACCTCACCCGGCACATGGCCGTGCACCGGGGGGGCAGCAAGGCCCACCAGTGCCCCCTCTGCTACAAGACGTTCACGCAGAAGTCCACGCTCATCGACCACATGAACCTCCACAGCGGCGAGCGGCCGCACCACTGCGCCTACTGCCACGCCCGCTTCGCCCACAAGCCCGCCTTGCGGCGCCACCTGAAGGAGCAGCACGGCAAAACCACGGGCCAGAACTCGCTGCACGAGCAGGAGGAGCGGGAGAGAGCGATCGGCGCTGCCGKAGGAGCGCAGGAGGACGATCAGGAATGTCTGGTGGCCGACCAGGTGTCGTAGGTCGAAACGGAGACGTAAACATCTGACCTGCAGCTGGAGGGAAACCGACKCTGACATGAAGGACGTGCAGAGTCATTTAAATCCTTTGAATTTTACTGCCAGGAAATCTTCCATCCCTGTAGAACTTATGCCTTAATTTGCAGCATAAATAATATATTGTTTTATTTTCGGGGGGCTGGGTGAAGTTAGAAAAATAAATTCCCTGAGCGTGTTTAATTTGTGCGCTGATGGGGAAACGCYGACACCAAAGCAGAAAAGTCTTAATTCTTCATTCGTTTTAAAAAAAGTATTTTTAAGCCTCTTTTGTTTCTGAAACTGTGAACCGTTTTTAACACGTCTCATCACAAGTCCCAAAACCTGTAAACAAGTAAATAAGCTGACAATTTTTTTTTGTGTGTGTGTGTGTGTGTATTGTAATGTGTAACGATTCTCCTGTCACTGTGCTGAAAACTAACCTGCTGCACAAAAACTGATTTTAAAAAGTGTAAAATATGTAAATAGGAGTTTGGTATGAAGAGGTAATAAACATTCAAAACAATGTTTACATCGCTGCTCCTTAAATGCTGTTAATAAAAGTACATAAAATCTGTGTATGTGGGTTTTAAAACATCAAACTCTGGACTAGATATTTAAATAAGCTGATCTTTTTGACCAAATCTCAGTCAAGAGGGAAAAAATACATGATTATGTATTTATTGAGCTCAACGAACAAACCGCTTTAGGGACAACAAAGATTAACATGTTAACGTAAGAACAGGAAAGGTTTCAGCCCAGGAAATCTTCGTTGTACACCACCTGGTTCCTCTTGTCCCTGTAGGAGCCTTTAGTGCTGTTCTGCACGGCTGCGAAAGAAACAAACAGAGGTGAGAGTCGACCCGTTGTCGTGCGTCGGAACCAAGAAGAGGAGAGCRGCGTTTACCCAGCGAAGCCCACACGGATTTGCCGGTGGCGGCGTCCAACATGGGCTGCTTCCTGGCGATGCTGACCCTGATCTGAACGTCTCCCACGACGACTCCGTTCAGCTACGAGGCAAAAACAAGAGAGGCGGGAATAAAACACTCAAGTCTGGTTTTGTTTATTAAAGTAATCAGGATGCGAACCTCTGCGACAGCCTGGTCTGCAGACTCCATCTTCTCAAACGTTATAAACGCACAGCTGAAAACAAGCAGCGGATCACATCAGATCAGGAGCGCCGCTGGAGCGTTGCGGGAATAATCAGCGGTTTCATACTTGCGAGGGTTGTCCATCGAGAGGTCGATGATGTTTCCGTGCTGAGAGAAGGCAGAGCGCAGGCTGTCCTCGACCAGACCCGAGCCGTAAACGTACACCGTGTTGCCCTTTCGAACACCTCTTCGCTCGGGGTACGAGTCTGATCCTGGGAGTAAAAATTAAATAAAATAAAAAACAAACAATAAGCATAAATTAAAACTTCCCTGAATTAATCTCACTCTTTACACCAATTAGAATTACATAGATTTAATATTGTGCAACATTTTATTTTGAAAGGTTTATAATGAGCTCAGTTTTTAACAGCACTCCTGTGTCTGATTGTGCAAAGAATTCTAGGTACAAATGAGATTTTCTCAAGTATATCCAGATTGTTAGGAAGCAGCTCTCCTGCAACCCAGAAATTAAAAAGCAAGTAAATTAGATGATTTTGTGATTCTATATGAAAAAAAATGTTTATCCTAATATAGTATTTTAGACACTTTTAAGAGATTTTAGACCCATCAAAGGTTACAAATCAGATGCTCTTATTGAGCTTAAGTGACTTTAATTCTGGAGCTCAGATCTAACCTTATAGAACACAAGACAATTGAGACAATTATGGGTAATTCCAGGAAAGTTGATAAGACTTGGAGATTTGGGTCTTTGYTGATAAATTTAAATGTGATCTGGGACTTTTCTTGATACAAGTTGTCTAAAGATAACACTTTAGGACACTGTCAGATACAACAAACAACACTCACGTCTGAAAGGTCCATCTCTGTCTCTTTCTCGGTCCCGTTCTCGTTCTCTTTCTCTGCTTCTGTCCCGTTCTCTGTCTCGATCTCTTTCCCTCTCTCTGTCTCTTTCTCTGCTTCTGTCCTTGTCCCGCTCTCGTTCTCTATCTCTATCTCGCTCTCTGTCTCTATCTCTGTCTCGTTCCCTGTCCCACTCTCTGTCCATATCTCGCTCTCTCTCCGTGTCGCGGCCAGATGAGACGCTGCCTCCTTCGTCCTCATCCCGGTATCGGTCGCTTGAGCTGACGAAGCTGCGGTGACACGACCGAGCAACGTTAGAATCACACTTTAGGCACATCAAACACGCCGCGCTGTGTATTCGTTGTGGTTTTGAGCGTTACCTCTCGTACAGGGATTTCCTGCTGGCTCGCTTTGCAGACTGCAAAAACACACCACAAAGACGTAAAAGCTTCATATTAACCAGGATCACGTACAGAATTGTTTTTCACCTTGAGTTTTCAGGAATAATTTWTGTTGTTTTTAAAGGCACAAAATGAAGATTTGTGACAATGTTATGTCATGTTTTCGCTCCTGTACCTCCGGTTGGTCATCGTCTGTAGAGACACTCCTCTGAAAGGGTAGGAAAGCAGGAGCTGGACCTTTCTCTGGGTCCTGATGAGAAACACAAAACCAAACTGTTTAACAGCACACTAGAGKACAAACACATATGAGCTGGTATGTTTCTACCTTCAGCTTGATTTCCAGCATTCGAGACCGTTTGAATCCAGAGTTCTTGTTCTCTGATTTAATAGCACTGATAGCCCCTGACTTAATGAGCATCTTTGCTTGTTCTGTCGCCGTTGCCGTATCGACAACAGGCTGGTCTGACAGAGCTGTAAACAAAATAAATAAATAAAAATAAATAAACAGAAGAGAAACAAAAGCATATCAAATTTTGTGGTCACTGTCGAAGTATTTGTCTGAGACAAACAAATCACAGAGGGTTTGAAAATGAAGAAATTTGGCAACATTATCAATTTTTCAACAATGCCTGGAGAAATAGTTTAATATAATAAACATACTGACATAAACGTGTTAAAAAAACGCCTTCACTTACTTCGTTTCAAACCACTCTGATTTGTCTGATTGGTTGAACTCTGCTTCTTCAGGGCAAGCAGTGCCTTTTTCTGAAAAAATAAAATAAAATAAAACACTGAGTATTTCAAAGAGTTTTTTTTTTTTTGAAGGTATAGGAAAACTTTTAGCTGCATTATCTCTACATATTCTTTCTTTTTTTATCCTAATGGTTTCTTCCTTTTCTTGTTTTGGTTCCTCATTTGTCTCTTCACGTGTTTAATCAACACACCTAACACAAAATGCTTATTATACTTGCAAATGTGACACAAAATAAGTTATGCCTACCTTTTTCTTCAGTTTAGCATACTTCTTCTGTAAAGCCTCCTCTTCCTCCGTCAGTGAATTTGGAAACATCACCATGACAGAACTAATACAACACACAACAGCTATAATTACACATAGATTTGTTAAAGCGAACAAAAAGTAAATTCTTWTAATTATACGAGTTGTATTTTTCAAGCTAATCACCACCGCTAACTAGCTAGCTCATGAGCCAGAAACGACAATGAAACTCATTTGTGGGAAAATTACAGACATAATCAACTCAAAACACAATATAAATAATTACAAGATAGGTTTTGTTATTTATTACGGCCTTAAATAATAGATACCTTTGTATAAAACTTGTTTACATCCAGGT